ACGTGAGCTGCATAATAAATATTGTAGATGTACATTTGCATAACATCCAACAGAAAGACTGAAAAAAGTGCTTATAAGTCTGTGCTTGCAAAATGGACGCTTTCTTTTTGTTATAGCTACATTATGTTTGGCGATTTCATCACTGCAACAATTATTCTATCCTTGTTCACCAAGAAAGAAAGAAGGACAGAATGATGCAGCGATACGAGCGCCACTTTTCAGTAATGTAATTGTTTGGAATAATGTGTAAAACCAGAGGCGTCTATGCTGACGTGAGCTGCATTAAAAATATTGTACATGTAAATTGCAATGTAATTATTTCCAATAATATATAAAACTAGAGGCGTCTATTCTGACGTGAGCTGTATAATAAATATAGTAGATGTAGATAAATGTAGTAGATAATTGAAATGTTATTGTTTTGAATAGTGTGTAAAACCAGAAGCGTCTATTCTGACGTGGGCTATATAATAAATTGTTACGTCCACGATAGATAACTATATAGGGAAATTTGAAAGTACTGAAATTAGTGACTTACGTGGACGGTACAGAGTGATGACTCCGCTTTTGGGTCACTCTGCTTTTTACCGAGTTTATCCTGGCAAAACGATCGATGAATCTGGCGAAAAATCAGCGCTGCTTGTTCTCCTGGCTCTGTCCCGGATGTTCCGGCGCTGCGCGGGTTGATGCGGCCCGCGATTCCAAATTTCGATTTCGCAACGTTCGAAAAATGAAGGGTAGGCAAAAGTAATTACAACACAGTCGGATTTTACGACTAATATATTCCAAATAAATACACGAGAATTATCAGAGACTAATTATGAGAAGAAATAATCGCCTTCTCAACAAATGCGCGCGTTTTTATATGTCGCTTTGTCGCTGAGAGTCGTTTCCTGATTGGCTGATGGAGTCATAGAGATGGAAGAGATTCATCCCATCGGTATGATGTCACCGCGTCGGTCCTGAGTGGTGTTTGGATTCAGTTTTCATGCTCCTGTTTATGTTAGCAGCGGGACGCCTTATCGCATTGAGCGATTACGGTTTCT